GAAGGAAGGAAGGAAGGAAGGAAGGAAGGAAGGAAGGAAAGACCTCTTTGAAATTGAAATTTCTTTACATTGATCTTTGAATAGCACTACAAATACGAAAAATAAAATAGTTTGGTATAGAATAAAGCATTACAAAAAATTATCATAACACAATTGAATAACACATCTAAGCCAGAAGCTTTGTGCACTTGTGTGGCTTGGTGAAGGTATTTTGCAAGCTGGAATATGAGTGAAGAGTTAACACTTCTTAAATATATAAACTTAAAATGTATCTGTATGATCCTCAGGACCTCTTCCAAATATTGTTCCTGTGCTCTGTTCTGGTCTCCAAAACTGCACCAGAAGATCAGGGACTGTCCAGTAAGTTGAGCAGGCCAGGGTAAGTAAGCTTTGCTTATATGCTTACCTTGATGGAAGGCGGGGGGGGGGGGATTTTTTAAGTCCACCTATTTTTTCCCCCATTACATTGGGTATAGAGAAAGCATTAGCTTGTGGAGAAGGTACAAATGGATAACTGATATGCTACAGTTTTGGCATGTAAAATCTGATTATTGAAACTGTTTCCATCCTTTGTTCTTATATGGAGAACCATTGCTAGTAGAAGGCAGACAAGAGACCCAACTATACAGTCATCATGCTAACAGGATATAATATGACCTATACTAGGTGGGAAAAACCAATATAGCCAAAATAGGCTTACCTAGTTTTGGGAAGGTACTGTTATAATCCAGGTGAAAATCAGACATTATGGGGAGTCATCTTCCTCTCATTATTTCAGAAATTCAGTTGCTTTATTTTTCTAACCTTAGCATGTACTAGGCAGGAAAATTGGTTAAAAAATATTTAGTCTGTATCAGCACTAAGCGTGGAGTTAAAATTTATCAATCCAGTATGTAACACTGAAGACGTTTTGATCTGTTTGCAGCATAAATACCAGTTCTCACGATGGCAGGATTCATAAAGACTTTTCCAGTTCAAAAGCATTCCTGTGCCTTGTTAAGCCGAATCTTGCTCTGAGTTTTTGAACCAGACTGATCTTTTACCACACTTAAAACAATATTGAATAAGCTGACAACACAGAAAAAGAAATGCAATCATTTATTCTTGTCAGTCAGTTTCCTTAAACAGGTTACCTTATAAATTGCTACCATAGTTGGATAATAGATTTTTGACATCTATTGATTGCTTGCAGAATCACATTTGGCAATATATAGGAGTTACTGTTCTTTTTTTTATGGACTTCTCCACTTGAAAAATGGGAAGGTAGCACCTTTTCCAGTAACAAATTTGATTAAAAGGCATTGCTTTATCGAACAAGTCTTCCTAGCCAGTTTTCTCAATTTGAAATGACTCTATGTATTGGGTTGCCATATTTATTTATTGTAAACGGACACTTGCTGCAAACATTTACTAACACCATCAGATATAAGACATGTATTTATGCATATTTGAATCCCATTGGTATTTTGAGGGTCTGTCTTCCTTACACAGCATGAATAGAAAGCAACTCTAGACATTAAACAGGGATCCAATGGCACAGCTGTATATCATGATCCATTCAGGATCTGATGGGGATCTGAAGGGTTCCTTTTCTGGAGGAATTTCTCCTTTACATTAATCACATGGCAGCAGTTTTGTGGTTTGAAATCATGGAATAACAAACCTCATTTAAAATGCAAGGAAGTCACTTGGGCATAACCTTATTTAACCCACTGGAATTTGTAGTACAATACAAATTGGAAGCTAGCAAATTGGAAGAGGCTGGCAAACACTGTGTTTTACTCCTTACACAAATACACTAAAAGCTGGAGACCAACTTGGAAAAGATATGGTTTGAAAATATGGCTATTTATGCATTGTTAAAATGATACAGGAGAAGGAAGATGCTAATTAAGAAATAAGGGCTAAATTAAAAATAGCAAAACAAAACAGATTGGTCAGATGACCTATGTGTCTGCTACCTATGTGCTAATTGTTAACTTCAAGACCACGTCCCTTTCCTTCTTGTGACTCTATAGTTTTGAAGTAAACTTCAGCAGGACACCCTTCAAACAGAAGATTGACCATTAGGCACCTGGTCTTATTAGACTGACAATCATTCAGCCAGACTGAACCAGTACAACACTCCAATATATTTTAAGCAAAGGAGCAATTCTGCCCCCACCCTTCCTTGTGGACCTAAATTTTTTTTCCTTCCCTGAGATGAACAAAGGACATCCCTTGAAGACACGATCAATCTAGCATAGCTGAGCATATAACTGGCAGCAGTATTATATTTTAACCATACAACTCTCCCTTCTAAGATAATAAAAATAACTCCCAAATTCATGCAAGTGATAAAAACAAAGGGAAGAATGAAAAGTAATAACACTACTCCATAGTTCAATGGTAACACTGAAAGTAAAGGCCTTGCTAGAAGCCTTTCTTTCTTTTCCTCTTAGAAAGCAGAAGGGAGATTCTCGATCTTTAAGCATCTGCTCACCTCAGACAATGGACATAGATCTAAAAGGTCCTTTGGGGGCTATCCCCTACATCCAATATCCATAAGGAAGCTATTTTTTTCTGGTTAAATGGGCATCACCATAGCTAGTTTAAAACATAGCAAGCCAGCTGTGGTAATGCCTGTTTAACCTACAGTGAGACATCCTTTTACTTTTCAAGTCAAAGTACATATGACACCAGAGTTTATAACTAAATGCTCATGCAGGGTATACTTTAGTGCTGAGTCAAAACAGGATGTTATATTTTTGGAACATTTATACGCCAAACCAATCTCTGTATCAATTTCTTGGCAGATATTTAAAAACAGTTCAAAATGTTCACAATGGACCAAGTATGTGGGAGAAGGGAGAGACAGAACATGAAGTAAACCGAGCCAATTCTTCATTACGCTGTGCTCAATCTTACCTCTCTAAAAGTGTCTGTGGATTTCCTAATAAAAAAGCGTAAATACACACATATTGTTTTGTAACAAAGCACAATTGAAATGTTGATATTTTCTTTGGCTTTTGCATTGTTTTATCAGTCAATCACGGCAAGGGGGTTATTTCCTTTGTAACAAAAAATAAAGCAAGAGCTAATTATATCTTTGAATTTATAGCTTTTTCCAGTTCAAGAGATTAGTAAAGAAAATTGGTGTTGAGAAGCAAATTGGTTCCTCTGAACTGACCCAAAGAAATGTTCATCAAAAACAGCACATTAAAATAATTTAAAGAAATGGATGGAAAGAAATACAAGAGACTATTTGCTATTCCTAGAGGATAATTATAAAAATAGAATTATAGCAAATAATTATGCCAAAGGCTATTTAATGTGAAAGGTAAGGATTATATTAATATTTTAAAGCCTCCAATAATGTTTTATAATGTAGGTTTTCTTAAAAAGAGATTGAATCTTAGTGACTTAGAAAAAGAAATCAAGACCCCACACTGTGACATCTTGTCAGTACAGACAATATGACTTAAAGGAGCCAGCTCTTTAAGGCATCCATTCTTCAAGGAAAGGGCAAGTCTTGAAGGATAATCTGGTCCTGCAAGTTGCAGCAAGTAGTTGCTCAGTTGTAGCCAATGAATACATCAATTCATTTGCCGAATCTAATAGATAATTGATATTTATCACTGCTTCTTGGACAATAGGAGTTTAGCCTAAGTTATCAGTGACCTGGCAATCTCCCTGCCAGACTTGTATATGGAAATGCCTAAAAGAAAATGTAGAAATTATAGTTAGATTAGAATATAACTATTAGATTGTTAATACTGGATTGCAGAATCATAGTTATCCTGTCTTTTGGTCCATTTAAAGTCATGATGCCTACTTTTATTCAAATCTCTCTCCTCCCCCTCTCCAAATTCCTGACCTTACTATGGATCAATTTGCATAGCATGGCATGGCTGAAATGCAAACTGTTATATGAATTCAGGAATTCTTATTCTAAAATAAATGGGAATAGAATTTAAGAGAGATTTTAGCTAAAAAATAAATGCATATTGTTTTCCATACCCAAACAAAACTTCAGCAGTCTAGCCATGGCAATATAATATAATTAAATTATAATTGTGCATTTATAGAAGTAGGAAAGGGGAGAAAGGAAAGAAGATTGAACAATCTCCTGTCCATTGTTGGAGTTCCAAATTCAATGGCACTGATTCATTAGCACCTCCTGGATACAAGGAGACAGTAGGGTGTTGATCGAGAGTTAAGGATTTATTCATTCTCCCCTTTATCTATCCCTCTGTCTGTTCTTTGTGTAAGAGATTGCTAATTTGAAGCCACTCCTTTCTGCCTTTCTTCCAAAGCATGCACAGATACAGACACAGACACAGGCAGAACGTGTGCTTTAGGATTCTCCGCATGGTAAGATGTAGCTAGCCAGGTTCTAGGTTTACCTATTCCTATAATGTATTTCCTGTAAATACATTTCCTTTCTGTTATAATCATAAAGCATACTTGACTAATCATCGCTCAGATTGGATTCCTGGCTCAACACGCTCACGCTCACATGCGTGCTCCGGACCTTCAACCTTCAACACTCTTTTCACTGGGAAAAGTTTTAATGTGAATGAAGTCATTGTTACAGCCCCTCATGACAATTAAATGT